ACAACTTGCTATTGTCTGGGAATTGCTTGTTGGTGCTGGGAACCCCCTCTGCTTCAACACACACACAAATTCTCTCTCTCTCTCTCTCTCTCTCTCTCTCTCTCTCTCTATCTCTCACACACACACACACACACACACACACACACACACACACTGAAATTGGGTACAGAACCCAAAATAACCCCTAAAATATTCATGTATTTATGTTTTTATATATTTATTTGTTTAGTTGATGTTTTAAAAACAAAGGCAAAAAAAATCCTTCATGCTAAAAAATGTCTTCGATGAAAAGAATTACGAAAATGATCCATGCCACATAATGCAGTTTTCGAAATCTGGCAGGTAGTTTTTACCGTCTCGTGAAGCTATCTAGAGTTTTCACTCGGGTGGCTTTGGGATGGTGCCATGAATCTCCATGTTGGTCCATTGCCTGAGCTGCACGGGCGATAAGGAAACAGCTGCCTGTAAGCATTTGCTGTGTGAAAGGACAGAAAATGTAGGCACCAGCCCTTCCAGGGAGGCCTCATTGCTGCAGCAGTTTATCCCATTACTAAAGACGTGCCGTGCTGATAGCCCGCATTCAGCTGTTGACCGGCAGCGTGGCCCTCAGCTGTAATAGGGAGCATATGATCACTCCAGCTGGCAGGTGACACCATCTGGCAAAGTTCCCGGCAGCTCAACAAAAGATTTTCCAATATCAAAGCAAGGGGAAAGACCTCTGCCTTTTTTCTTTTCTTTGTTTTTTTTAAGTGGTTTGACTATGAATGCATTTTGCTTCCAAAAGAATTACTGCTTCTAACTTGATGAATCCTGCGAAGGAAAGGGCACACTCAGAGAATGAAATTAGCTGGAGGGGGAGGGGGGGTTTGTTAACTTCTCATTTACATTGATAAATAAATGATAACTTATCGGAAATTAAACTTGTGCTTAAGAAGGACTGCAACTTGAATGTAGTGAAAGCTTGGAAAGGTTTGTTGGTGTTTTTTGTTAAAGGTTCCATCTGAAAACACAGCCTTTAAGAAGTGAGACTGGTTAGGTTATGAAAACATAAGAGTCTTAAATTTTATTGGAGTCTTAAATTTTAGTGGACTTTTAGGAAAATGTGATTTCACCAGGTAGAAAGGCTGTGAGGCAGAGTACTCGCTACCAGGTCAGAGTCATGCACCTCAAGAGTGGCAGCTTGGGAACGTCTGGGGCCCTTGACCCTGAGCACCGAAGTCATCATTTTCTAGCTTGCTACAGATTGGGGACTCAGAAAAACTGGGCAGTCCTCTGGGTCCATTCACTTTTTTCATTGAAAAAGTAAACAGTAGATGAAGAGGAAAAAACAAATGTACCTGAGCATTATATTATTTTATTAATTGCTGAATATAATGCTAACATTAAATCTGTTTATATGTACACATAAGATATGGGACAATAGAAATTACTGCCAATTGGTTGATGGTTCTCAGAACCATATCAGTCACATATCAGTCTATGTAAAAAGTGCATCTGTCTCAAAAAGCATGTCTTTTTTTTTCTGAAATAGTCATTAGAGTTACAATAATACTCTATATGTGGTTTAAGCCCCATTACCCTTATATTTTGCTGATCAAGATTAAGACAACCACTTTTATTCTTAGAACAAACTACCTAATCAAATAAAAATGTGTGATTGTGTTGTCATAACAGAGTACAAAGCCCACATATATATTTTGCTTTATACAAACAAAATGAAAATTTAATCTCTGAACACTAAATTGTGTTATTTATATAACATTTGGGGGTGCTTGTTGATATTATGAAAAGGTTTAGGGTAATATCTTCTATATAAATAATCTTCCTGTAACATGGATAATATTATTGAATTGGTTTGTACCTTTACGGGAAGAAAAAAAATGTTCTTTAATTCAATAATATTATAAGTGCTTATTATTGACTTATTCTGTAGGAGCTAAAAAAAAAAAAACAGATTGCTAAGGATCCTGTTTATAGATAATATGTTCTTAAGTGCCCAAATGATTTCTATTTATTAAAAAAATCGTATGAGCTCATCACACTCTATAGGCCTCATGAAGAAGCTCGGAATTGAGCTGGGTTTGGGGATTACCACAGGTTAGCTGGCTCATGAATCATTCAGTACCACCAGTACTGGTTCTTCTCAAGCTATCTATATTAAAGGACCAGATGCTGGCTGATTTTTATTTTTGTGTTTATTTGATTTTCTGTAACTCCAACAACATGGTTTTATTGAGTATGTCTAGCATGTAGCTCATGTCATACACATCTTAGCGTGGAATTCAACATGAACAAAACTGGCCTGTATAATGTTTAGTGAATCATGTCCACTGGTGGTGCACTTGAGTGTTGCAGACTTTAAATTGCTGTAACAATGCCTCAGCATTTACTTTCAGTACTGTGCTTAGCTCATTACACACTCCTCACCAACAGTTGCACTCATCTATGGACCCCATTTTGAGTAGCCCTGTACTAGTGGTATTTCCTGTACTACAAAGGCAGAAAACTATAACACACAACAAAATCTGCAAAGTTGCTTGCAGCCAGGTTTCTGGACCTGATTTAGACTCCAATAAAGTGCTAGGTCTGGGCCTGGATTTTAAACAGAAGTCAGAGGAAGAAACAGAAGTACCCATTTAACAGGGAAGTTTAGTGCCAGAAATGAGGCTTCTTGTGGCCACCAAAGAAGCTTTCCGGATCAGAGAAATGAAGTGATTTTGAAGGCTGGAAGCTGGAGGCTCGGTTTAGAAGCCTTTCCCTCCAGCCTATCCAATTGTTGTATAAACCACCTAATACCTGATACTAAATTTCTTTTTGTGTGATTTAGTTGGTTCCTGTTGTCTGAAAGAAATAAGGCTGCACTGATAAAGATCCATTTGCCAATTGTAATTATTGGGTGGCTTTATATTTTTTGACTGGTTAGCCATTAGCTCTAGATCAGCGTTTCCAACCTCATTGTGCATATGGATCACCTGGGAATGTGAATGCACTGGTTCTTATTTAGTAGGATAGCCTGGGGGGTCTGAGATTGTGCAGGTCTATCAAGCTTCCACAGACCAACCAACAAGCACAGTGCATGCCTTTGGCCTCCCAGAGTGTCATGATTTTGTGAAAATCATAATGAATAGGATAGATCGTTCCCTATGCTCAGTGGTGTCAATTTTTTTGCATGGCCATAATGAAGGAGAGAATGGTTAGAGAACGGCAGCTGAATAATTTAGCAACCATGGATGATTTGGTGAACTTATTTAGTTTCACTAATAATAAAACAATGAAGTTAATAAATATCACAGTGCTCATGCACCTACCAAGGTTCACTGGAAGGCCACTTGTGAATTATGCAAGCCTAAAATGAGCCCCAGTACATGAGCGCTCAGCTACTCTTGTGGCCTTCGCTTTTGTCCTCTAATACACTCATGGTTTCTAAAAGTCTAGTAGTCATTCGGAACTTTACCAAACCCTGAACCTTCTTTCCGGGTCTACCTACTGGGTTCTTCTCTCTCTTGGATACAACCTGGGTGCATCCATTTTAAATCTCACGAAGGATAGGACATGTAGTGGAAATTAAATAGGAGGAATTTTGTAAGAGAAGAAATACAGAGGTTATCATTTGGACATTATTTTGCCTGATTTCATGAATAAGCTCACAAGTATAAGTGTGAAAACTTGCTCTATGGTTAGTGCTATATCTAATACACTGTTAATTCCCAGTACATGATAGTTTTGCTCTATGGTTAGTGCTATATCTAACGCACTGTTAATTCCCGGTACATGATATTTGAGTAAAAATGGGATTTTAGTCCTCTCTGTGGTTATAAGAAAAACAGAGCTGACTCATGAGGCCTTTTGACCACCACTAGCACTTCATCCTACTTTCCAGACATCTCAACTCAGACAAATAGACTCTGATGCTTCTAGCTGTCTCCTAAGAATGCAATTTTTGAACACATGCCAGTAAAAATGAAGAACGTTGAATGTGAGCAAGCACATTAAAATGGACCTGCTTCAGTATGGTTGATTACTGTAGTTAAATATAGCACCTGAATGACAAGCAGAACTATCAGTGCATTCTTCCATTGGAACAAATGGCTCTATCATGGCGACAGACTGCCTGTGTCTCATAAACATGCATTATTGGTTACTGAGAATGGGCAAGAGTTCAACTGAGAATCAACACGAGGTCTATCAATTCCAGGAGTATTCTCAAAGTGCATATGTCCTTAGTCATGGACATTCATAACATCATCTTCATCTTCATATATAGACATTACAACTTAAAATCCAACATTCCTGTAATTCAGGAAGGCATAGATAGATTAGAGTTCAAACATAAATACTTTTCAATAAATATTAGACATATATTTACTGGATATATCTATAGTAATATAGATATAAATGGATTCTATTTCTAAAGCTTATGGTATATTTAATTAAGATATTTGTATGTATACTGTGTATTAAAGTGTGAACTGGAAAAGTTGATTTATTTGAATAAACATGCAATATAATTATTAGTGACAATCAACATTTCAAATGATATTAATGATATTTTAAGCAAACTACTTTTTCTATTTAAAACCATATTGTATTGAGTTGGCCAGGCATGTCTATTTAAATCACTAAACAGAATGGAAATTATCATATGGTAACAGTTCCTGGTTTCTCATTCTCTAAATTAAAACAAATCTGGAGTGAGTGAAATGAACAATATGGTAAACTTCGTTTCGGCTAATTTTGCTTAGTCCCTTTATTTTCTATTTCCCATGAATGGTTTAACAACTGGTTTAACAAATGGTTTAACAAAATAGGAGGAAATGCAAATGTTAGCTTTGGGTCTAACTGCTTTTACACATCATAAATGTTGATGCATTTTCAATGAAATTAGAATTCCACCTCCAAGTAGACATAAAAATGTCCAGGCTGATTTCACTGTGGAACACAGAAGGCCAAGTTCATAACTGCCTGTGTGTGTTATGAGAATATCAATGCTCTTTTCGCAGATTGTGCCAGCAGGAGAAGTTGCCAATGACCTTCCAGTCCTGTGTGATCACCAAAGAGTGCCAGGTGTCGGAGTGGTCCGAGTGGAGCCTCTGCTCAAAAACGTGCCACGATATGGTGTCCCCTAAAGGCACTCGTGTAAGGACACGGGTCATCAGGCAGTTTCCCATTGGCAGCGAGGAAGAGTGTCCAGAACTTGAGGAAACTGAACCCTGCGTGTCTCAAGGAGAGGCAGCTGCCCCCTGCGCCACGTGAGTGAATAAGGCTGCAGCCTCTGCCACCGTCTCTGCCCAAATTGCATGTCTGTTCAGCTGTTTAATTCCAGCTGAAGAGTAGGTTGAGAAATAGTGATTTTTACAAATCTTAAGTGAGGAAAAATATCTCTTTACAAACACTATCCTAAAAAAATGATTTTAACCAATAAAAGTGTTGTTAACAAGCTGTATTTTTAAATTTCCATGAGGGCTAGACTTTTAGCAGCAATTCTCTTTATATATTTTCTATAATAGGTATTGGCAAACTTATTCTTCAAAGAGGAAGAGTGCAGCTCTGTCTGGTTTGGCTCAGTGGATAGAGCGTCAGTCTGCGGACTGAAAAGTCCCAGATTCGATTCCAGTCCAGGGCATGTACCTTGGTTATAGGCACATCCCCAGTAGGAGGTGTGCAGGAGGCAGCTGATTGATGTTTCGCTCTCATTGATGTTTCTAGCTCTCTATCCCTCTCCCTTCTTCTCTGTAAAAAATCAATTATATATATATATATATATATATATATATATATATATATATATATATATATATATGAGAGTGCAAATGTATTAGGCTTTATGAGCCAAATAGATGAAACTCTTATCTCTGGAACTACAGATAATATGTAAATGGGTGTGGATATGTTCCAATAAAACTTTACTTATAAGAGTAGAAGACAAGTTGGATTTGGTTGTCAGGCGATACAAGCTCCATCCTATAAGGTAAAATAAGAAAGTCCTATTAAAATTCAGTACTACATATAACAAATCTATTGAATAGAATAAAATACATCAAAATAATAAGACTTGAAGCTCCTTGAGGACAAAGATTGTGCCTATTTTTTTTTTTAAACTGAGACTCATATAACTCAGGGCCTGACACAGAGTAAGTGTCCAATAAATGTTCATTGAATTCAGATAAATTCTGAAATATTTGGCACCATAACCTTATTCTTTTTATCGTTTAAAAATATGACTTCCAAGACATTACTGTGAGTCATCTTCAAAATAAATACATTTCAGCTTAGTCTGAATATAGAGTACTTAGAATATTTATAAAAAACAACTTTGAGAATCTTAGTTTCTCAGTAGATATATACAAGCGTCATTAGGTTTTCCTCTGGAATAGTGCAAGCATTTAAAGAACATGAACTTCCTGAGTCAGGGAGGAGGAAAATATTACTCCTACTCCTGCTTCTAAGAAGAATAACTCAAGAATAGTGACGGTTTGTATGAGACCTTCCATCCTGCAGCACTTTGGAATTCTCTCTTCTCCCCTGATGTAACAAGTGACTGGAAGCCCAGAGAGCTTGCTGCCTGTCTCCTCCGCCAGCCCCACTGATGCCCAGGCTCCTCTTCATGTAATAGGCTCTGGGAATTTGCCTGGATCTCCAGCCGGAGTATCTGTGTCCTGTGAATTTCTTTTATTTTTGTCTCAAACTAGGTGTTTTATTCTTTCTCTTCTTAGATATTCAAGCACCATTAACAAAATAAATATATATTCTGAGTCTCTTTATCTCCCCGCCTTGCTGTTGGGAGAATAGCACTTTTAGAATGTGTCACCAATTTACTCCCTCTCCCCTCCCCCCCAACAATTGATTTCAGAGAGGAAAAAAGAGGGAGAGAGACATAGAAACAAACATCAGTGATGAGAGAGAACCATGGATTGGCTGTCTCCTGCACACATCCCCACTAGAGACAAAGCCCGCAACCCAGGCATGTGCCCCAAATGGGAATCGAACCATGACTTTCTGGTTCATAGGTTGATGATAAACCACTGAGCCACACCGGCTGGACACCAACTTACATTATTGGAAATTTATTCCTTTCTTAGGACTCCTTAGGCGACCTAAATTGAGACTGCATTCTATAAAAGTGCAAAGTGTTAGTTTAACTCCCCTGATGAATGATTTCATTGGCTTTACTTTTCTCCCCCCCCCCCTTCCTGCTGCCTTCTACACTTTGCCCAAGGCATCAATTACCCATGTTTTTAGAATTAACCTGAATGCTGTACTTCCTTTATAAACATGTGTCAAGAGTGTTATTGCTTGATGCGCCTGTCCTGCACCTTGGTAAGCCATGAACCCTCACTTATGAAGATGAAAAAGGGTCAGAAAAGTCAGCTCTCCTGTCATGAAGCTTTCCCATTGACAAAGCAGAGCATGGAGATCAGACATCGCAGAGCCCATTTAATATCTCCTTCTAATCGAGATGAGCATTAGCACATCCATTTGTACCTATGCTGGCCGTTAATCTGATTAGTAGGGGAGCGTCTTGGTTAAAGTGACACAAAGTGCTACATGAGCCATTTTCTTTGTGCTTTCAGACTATCCATTTTCCTTGAGGTGGAGAAATGCCACCACTTCCTATCTTCTTTGGCATCAGGAAATGGTTCCCTGCCTATCTCCTTAAAGCGGGTGCTGGGCTGACAAGATCCTGACATTTCTTCCACATCATAATCTTGATTGGAGCTTTAATTTAGAATCACAGATTGTCTTTCCTGTGATCCACTGATTAGAAACGTCAGCTCTTTTCGTCATTTATCAGCACTCATCAGGGAAGCTCAGTGCTACAGAAAAACACTCATTCTTTTTTGTTGTTGGTAATCTTCACCAAAGGATATTTTTTCCATTGGTTTTTATTTATTTTATTTACTTATTTTTATTGTTTAAAGTATTATATATGTCTCCTTTTCCCCTGATTGACACCCCTTCCCCTTTCCATTGGTTTTAAAGAGAGTGGAGAGAGGGGAAGAGGGAGAGACAGACAGAGAGACTCATTTATTGATTGCCTCCCTCCTGCACCCCAACCAGTGCCAGGGATAAAGCCCACCAACTGAGGTGTGTGCCCTTGACTAGAATTGAACCCTGACTCTTGAGTCCACAGGTCGATGTTCTACCCACTAAACAAAACTGGCTAGTGCAAAATCACTCATTCTTGACCATGAAGAGAAACCTCTAAATTGTTGTTACATTTTTTTAATCCTAAAGCACAATTATAATTTTGATCTAGTATGAAGAAGCAATTTTCATGCATTTTATTAAAGGCAAAACAAATGTTTGGGTTGATCATCACTTGGAATGTTTTTCATTCTTAGATTCAGTCCCACTTTGTTTATAAGTATCGAAAAAGAGCAAGCCTGAGTTTTGCTTAACGGAACATAAAATTTCATGTTTTCAGCATTATGCTCTCTTGTAATAAAATATTTATAAGCAACCTCCAGTGATTGCAATTAAAACAGGATCATCTTAAATTAAACTCCTCCTTAAATGGAGCACTGTTGAGGATAAAGAAGAGATTGAATCTTAATCTACACCGGAGATATGGTAGTTTACGATTGCTTCAAGAGGAAAGTGTTTTTTGAATTATTTTTTTAAGGAAAAAAAAATGAGCAGAGCAGAGTTTTTTCAATAGACATGGCTGCCACTGATGGCGTTTTCTTTATTCAGGTATGGCTGGAGAGCCACAGAGTGGACCGAGTGCCGTGTGGACCCTTTGCTCAGTCAGCAGGACAAGAGGCGAGGCAACCAGACGGCCCTCTGTGGAGGGGGGATCCAGACCCGAGAAGTGTACTGTGTGCAGACCAATGAAAACCTCCTCTCACACTTAAAGACACACAAGGACAAAGAAGGTAAGCTGTGTTCCTTTTCAAGGATCAGGCATGGGATGCTGCAGGAGTATATACCCAGTCATCTGGGGCATGCATAGCCATATTTCTGTTCACATTATGGTTGCTGACCACTATGGTGAACAATAATTCAAATTTTGGTTATAACAATTTAATTCAATTCCATCTTTGGTCAGTTCTGATTTGCTGACAGATGTGTCATTAAATTTTCCAACTTTAGGCTCTGAGTGAAAACTTAGGAGTAGTTATTTATAAAAATAGAATAAAAACTAATCTTGTAATTATATGCAAAGAAGTATATATTCTAAAGCCTAATGTTTTTCGCTTGGTATAAGAAGTATAACCTGCTTATAAAAAAAATCCTCCTTTTTTCTATTTATAATGTGGTTGAAAAATATGTTAATTATAGTGTTGAGTAAAAAATTCAACTTGAGTTTAAATGAAATCAATACAGAATAAATACAGAATCAAACGACAGTAAAAATAGAACAAAAAGAAACATTTAACCCAAAAGTCTGACTTATTTTAACCTTTCAATTAAACACATTTTAGAATATTTTTATTTAAATCCCAGTTTTGGACCAGATATAATAAATGTACAAAAGGGTAAGTGATTTTGAGATGGCCAGGGCAAAATGTATGGATTTTCATACATTAATATTACTCTGATATTCTAATCATTATTGGATCAAGTTTATATTCAATTACTAGCTTTTATGTCCATACAAATATGGATATTTTTAAGCAATGCTGTAAGCTAACCCTCTTACATTTCTCTCTACCTGAAGGATAACAGGATGTCTACCACTAATGTATTCAATGTATTTTTAGTTAATAACAGAGTTCCAAAAATTATGTAAGATGGTGAAGATAGAAATGTCAATACAAATTTTGTGTCAGGAAAATGTTCATAGTCATCACGAGGGCACATAAACAAGCCAACCTATAATAATAAAAGTGTAATATGCTAATTAGACCAGAGAGCTGAATGACCTTCTGGACGTCCTTCCGGACAAAGCCAAGGCTGTAAGGGCTGAGCCCCTTGTATAAATTTCACGCATTGGGCCTTTAGCAATTAATAATGCAATATGCTATGAGTTAGAAATGAGTTTTAGAATAATGGTAGGCGGATCACAGAAACAGAAACCTTCATAGAAAAGGGAAGTGGTACTTGAGCCAAGTGATGAGGAGAATGTGCCATAAAGTTAAATGGGTCGGGAATGCAAGAGGGAACAGCATTAGCACACCATTAAAGAGAAGCAAAAACAAAAGAGAAATCTTGCCAGAAAAGATGAGTATGTTGTATTTAGCAAGTTGTGGTTTGATGGGGTAGTATTTCCCAGCAAATATGTTGGTTGGAAAGGGTAAAGAATAAAGACCTTAGTTCATATTAACAGAGACCAAAAAAGGGGGCAGGAGATATGTAGAGAATGAAGATGATCAAGAATAACCAGAAAAAAAGAGAGGAAAGAACCAAGAGAAATGGGTATTTCAAAAAACAAAAGATGATTTTACTGCCTCCCTGAAAAGGAGTGGCACCTGTGACCAGCAATTCATGAAAAACAATCACGGAAGTTTTGCATGTGTAACTTGCAAAATTTAATTGTTTTTTACCCACTAACTTTCATAGCGCGTCAACTCATTTAGGAATCTAGCCTCGGGATACATTTTACTGCTACTATATCTTGAAGTTGTAAGGAAGAGGTATAAAACAGGTAATGTTAGTACATTAATATTTTCTTGGCCACTTTAATGGCTACGTTTTTAACACTCTTAGGTGGATTTATTATAAGCCGTCCTCTCAGAATAATATAATTTCATTGCTAGAGGTAGTTCGGAGTTTAGTTTCTGAATGTCAATTATGTCCTGTAGGTTATTACTTTCAAAAGAGCCTTTGGGGTTTGGAATTGGAACTGGATACATTTTTAAAATCATTTCGTTTTGGAGTTTCCCTACTGCTGTCAAAACACAGCAGAATGCCAAATAAATAAATAAATAAATAAATAAATAAATAAATATCACACCAAAAAGAAAAAAAAAAGAATAATATTATTGTAAGATGTATCTTTTGGAGTAGCAAATGCCACAGCAAAGATCAGTGGATATAGAAATAATCAATTCTTTTAAAATTATATTTATCACGGAAGCATGTAACATGAATAACTTAGGAATATGTGTCCTTTTATGTCACATAGCAAGACTACTATAATCCTCTTTGGGGAAAAACAAACCAGTCAGTTGATTTTTTCCTAAAAGTTTCAGCTTTTACCTCTCAGAATTTAGACTATGTAAGTTTCTCCCGAAAGAACTTAGCATTTCTCAATAGGAAACTTATTCAATACATCAGCATCCCAAGGACTATAAATATGTGTGGCTGGAGCTCAATGCGACTGTGGAGAATGTTCCATGTATCTTCATTCAATAACTATGAAAGGATGAAGGCTTACTTTACGAAGAGAGAGAAATCTGTCAAAATAACTCCCTCATCAATTCTATGAAGAAGGTACTGATCTCAGGAAAGTCTGACTGTGTCACCGTGAAAATCCTACCCTAAGAGCAATTTATATTATACTTCATTTGAAGAACAAAATCCACACTTGTTTTGGCAGATCTATACATCATGTTCCAGAAAAGTTGTTTTCACCAAGCTATTAACATACATTAGCTCAAAATAAAATAACTCAAAAATAAAATTTTTTATACAAAAATACTGAAAAAAGATATTCAATTCATATAACTTCCTTTATTATCTTGGCATATCATATTTATTATACAGGTAGTGACCACCTTAGCACGATTTAATTCAATTTTCACGGCGTTGGGTGGTGTGAGTCAGTTAATAGTAGTAAAGACAATGTTGAATGGAAATACTTAATGTGACCTAGGATGTTGAATGGAAATACTTAATGTAACCTAGGTAACCCTTCCAACCCTGACAACTGAGAAGAGCTAGCAATAACACTCGGCCATTTCTGTTCAGCCAGCTGATTAGAGTTCCAGTAGGCTGAAAAGTGTCCAGCTTATACTGGCATGAAATCTACCCTTATCAGAAAGTGACAGGAAAAAGCCTTGCCCATGGCGAGGTTACTGGGGTAAGCCCTAGAAAGCTGATGAAATGTTGCTGATCATTGGATGCATGAACATAAATTGATTTTTTTTTACAAGCTCAAAGTGAAATGAAAGTAGATTAATTACAGTCACTAAGAATTTCTTTCATTTGAAATAGATTGAACGTGTTTTTAAATGAGGGCAACCAAAAGCATTGGTTATAAAGCACCATGGAGCTTGCCTGTAATAACAGAGTTCCAAAAATTACATAAGATTTATATTATAGGAAACTTATGAACATTCTTTGGTAGAAAATATATCTAATAATCCACGTGAAATCTGGATGAGGTCTGTAGGATTTGAGGTAATTAAGAAAGACAACATGGATAATGAGCCTGTATGATGACATAGCATGAGATAAACTAGCAAAAAGTTCTGGAGGATCAATGGAGAGATGGATGGAGTGAAACATGATTGAGCTGTGAATGGATAGACAGAAGGATGAGCTCATGCTCTGCAACAAATTAAGGAGAATAAAAATAGTCACTATCCCTAAATGAAATAAAAATTCTTTATGGTCTTTGTAGTCTATTATTTACCATTTCCACAAACTAGCCTACTTTACTCAAAGCTATTTTGGAAAAAAAAATGATATTCTTATAGTTCTATTTCCCTGTGATTTCAGAAAGTAAATATCAGAGTACACCAAAGGCTAGTGCTGTACCTTTCCTACCCATCATTTTTGAAATTACAGGTATGTAAGAATATTTTACATGACATCCCAATCAGAAATGTGTATCCCTACAAATTCTCTGATACAGTGGTAGAAAATATAGTGGTTTAGTTCTATGTTGCTAGAACTATATCAAAGCTGTCCCATAAAATAGAAATTATTTAATGTTTCTTTGATTATCTATAGCATCATTATATGGATATAAATTATAGAAAAACATAAACATATTTAAAAATTTATTTATGTAAAACTGTCAATAGGACCCCACAATTATAAAAACAGATATGTAAAGTTAGGTTGTGAACACTTTGTTGAGATAAATTAATGAAGGTATGACCATTTTTCATAATTTATCATATTTTTAAGCATAGTATTTTGTGCTCTACTATGTCAATATGGTAAACGAAAAAGGAATTAAATCACACAATGGCTACATTTTAGAAAGAACCTACACTGAAACAGGGAATATCAAAACCACTATAATATAGACAATCCCTGAGTGAACTAGGGAAATTAGATCTCTGGATATTTTGTGAGAGAGAAGGGCTGTTACACTATGAAGTTTCTCTGGATCAGTAGAGTAAAAAATAGAAAGAGAGATGCCAGGAGGTTTCAGCCACTGGGATAGAAGCTAATAAAAATGTACCTGCTGGGAATTAGATTAGCTCATCCCTCATCTACTCTAGAAGTCAGTTGAAATTTTTAGTAGAGGAAGAGCTTACTAATGAGATACCAGGAAATACTCAACCAAAAAGATACAAAAGAAAAATATGATGAAGCAGCTTGGACATCATGTAAACATAAAAACAGTACATATACTACCTTTGATTTGGTTAACATTTAGTAAACATTTGTTATTGGATATGTTTGTTCTCTCACTTGTAAAATAGTTCAGTTTAATTAGTCTGAAGATTGCCTCTTGAACATACCAAATATACTTTCTTTAAGACCTTTTCTATTTCAGCAAGAGTTTATATTTACACCAGCCTGTTCTTTACCTCTGAATAAATATTTATTCACACCTCTGAGTTGGAATAGAGGAAACATGACTTAGTTGTTAAATCAAATGATGAGGGTCAAAACACACTTTATTTCAGGCTGGCCACTCATTTCAGAGAACGTATATTATATCTATATTCTCTCTTCTAATAATACAGATAGCTTAAACATCAATCGAATTGTCATCCTAAGGCTACTTTCAGTAGCACACTAGACAATCAGA